TTAATTTGCACAGTACATAAATACTTCAACGCATAAAGCCTTATTTATATGAAAGATTGTTAACAGTAGGTATTTTTAAATGTCACTTTTGTTTGTGAATATTAAAACCGTTCTTAGAATTGCTCGGAAGCATGCCTTCCAGTTACTGCTTTGTGTTAAGAAATTCCTGAAAATCAATTAGGTAATAGTGAATAACAATAGTTTTTTAGAATACAAAAAATGATTTCTGCTAACCCTGGCATTTGAAAGGATGGTGAATCACAGAAAGAAAAAAACTAGTCGTGGTGAATTAACGGCAAAGATTGTTTTGCTTTGAGGTGACAGAATGTTTTTGTATTCACCATAATCAGTTCCCCATTCCTTTTTTTAAATTTATCTTTTTACGGAAACTACATTAAATGTTACAATATTAGTTTAGTTGAATGGTGCTTGAAATTTGCCTAAGACTAAATATGCCAGTTACTAATATTAACCTGTTAATTTCTTCCTGAATGAGATCTAACTAATATGCATTTTGTTGATGAGGGACATTTTTCTTACAATATAACTTTCAACGCTACACTGACCTAAATTGTTAGGTCTACACTCACAAGCCTCAACAAGAAAATGTTTAGAAACGGCCAATCACATTTGGTTTAGTGTATTCCACATTGCAATAGAAAATAACTCCACTTGTGGGTTGTGTAAAAAGTGAAAACCTGTTTTTTGCCATACTGCAGAAAAACCAGCCGCTTTTAATGCATGCGTTGCGGGTCTTAAGTATCATTTTTACTCTCTGAGGGAGTAAAAAATGTTTTTAGTCCATAGGGAGTAATGATCAGCTGTTGTCAACTCAGTTGTAAATTTAGATTCCAAACAATCACATGTATATATCATTTGTATCTGTTACCTTACGGTAAATAGTTTGACAACAATAGTAAAAACTAAAACAATCATAATAGATGAAACCATTGAATCACTTAATAAACAGCTGCTTGTTTCCATCAGCAAATTATATTGAAAATTAGTTCAAAGTAGTATTCTTTAAGTTTAAATTAAAACTATTTTATTTTTGAGTTTGCTCAAATAATGGTGCAATATGACGAAAAATATAGTTCATCACACAGGCAAAAGGTGTCTTCAATCCTTGCTCATTTTCCGATCAAGGCTTGAAAAGTTACTTTACACCCTAGTCATGAAATATTCTACTAAGCAATGTACAAATTTGATTTCAAAATTATTTTAAGTTTATTAAACACAATTGCAGCAGTGTCTTATCTACCATAATAAATTTTATAAATTTACAAAACTGAATTGTTCCAAATTTATTACTTACGATTTGTTTTTATTTAAAAAGTTTTTTTTGTTAAATTTGTGTTATGTTACTTAAAACACTGCTGTTTATACCAATTGTATAACTTGCAAAAACATTGTTTTGACTTTCATTACATTATTCTAGTGCCGATTATTGTAAGACGGTCCCCTAGAGTACGAAGAATAATCAAGATATCACCAGAAAAATAAATCAATGGTTTGTATTTAATCACCTTTGCAAACGAACTATATATAAGTTTTAAAGGCCTTTGGTAAGTATGACTTAAAATTTACATTACAATTCTTAAAATATATGAAATATCTAAGTGGCTGATTGTTTTTGTGCAAAGAAATAGAGTTAGGTGAAAATTAACTAGGAAAGGTATAATTCATGGGCTTATAGATAGACAAAATAAACTACACAACATTTAGTTTCATCCTTGTTTAGGGATATATAAATTGAAGAGAAATAATCCAAAATTCTACTAGATGTAATCTTAAATCTCCAGCCCTACAACTCTTAAAGGCCCGTTGTCCAAGCCACGTCTGTTGTGTCCGTCTCTGAGAAATAGACGCTCAGCATCGATATCAATGGGCCTGTTGTCCAACTGCTCCAGGAGCAGTTAGGATCGCTCACTGATAACCAGCATCTATTATACATATTGCAGTGTTGTGTCGGTGTTCTTCTGTGCTCCCAAGCTTATGTGTGACAACTTGTAAGAATGGCGTTTTGTTATTAAGTATGGAGTGCAATCGCATGAAGTTTGTTGTAGATTTTCCTCTATCAAGCACAAACAATTTTGAACTGATTCTTCGAAAGTCTAAAAAGTTAACAAAATACAGCCTCCCGTCTGCATTGGTTCTCTAATAAAACCAAGGGAATATCCATCTTTGGTTCTCTTTGTAAAAAACTTGGATTACACAATCGTGGTTTACTTGTAAATTCCAGAATTTTCTTGTCTTCTATTTCTCCATTCAACAGAAACTTCAACAGTTTTTTCTTACAATGTGAGCACAAATACACTGCAGTAGCACAGTCAGCAACCAACTGTTGAACTTAATAGAGACGTTCTTGGGTTGTGTAAAGTGATCAATGCCTAATGAGCATTGCCCGGCGATTCCCTCTCTGGGATGATTTCTTGAGACGTGGTTTGGACAACACACCTTTATTATTACACAACCTCTCTGAAACCTATTCGTTAAAAATCTAATTTATATTTTTTATCTATGTTGGACCATCGTCCTTTTTTAGTCTCAAAAGTCAATTGGTTCAATGTATAGAATATTATACTACTACAATTTATCTAATTCACTTTTTTAATTGGAAAAATTTCATTACATCAGCCAATATTTTTGGATTAGGAAAAGTCAGTTATACTATCATGTCAACTATACTATCACAGAATTCAAAATGAGCTCATTGGAGTTACCAAAACCTCTTATCAACATTGTCTATATTTTGACACATGATATTAACTGCTAAATGATATAATTTCTCAATACAAATACCATTTGAGGTGGTTTTCAGTACGGTATTACAAATTGATAGTCTTTCATTAATAGTGTAACTGTATTTAGTTCAAATTAATTCAGTATTTAGTTGTATTTTGCTCATGTTTCTACTATTAGCTGTAACACAATCACAATTTCTGGAAAAGGGCCTTGGTTGGTGCATGCTTATGGTTTTTGTGCCTTCCTGATTTCTAACTATTATGTGAGCTGTTGAGTGCTTGTTTTTTAATGTTTTGTTTCATGATAGTTCCATACTTTTTTTAGGTATGAATCATTATTTAGTGTGATGTACTGTAGCCAGATTAAGTTTCAGGAAGTGTCTGTGGGTCTTAACTTTGTTGCCTCACTGGGATATCAATTTATTTTTTTAATTGTAAAGGCACGACAAAAATTAATTGTATCATGCTGGTAATAAGAATAAGAATAATTTATTCCATTGATCTTCAATGGAATAAATTTGGTGGATAAAATTGGAATAAATTGGTATTGCTTAATTCAATGAATGGAGGGTTTGTGGACTTACTAAATACTCTTTTGAGTAAATGAATGGCACAATCTTATGCATAACTAATGTCAGTCATGAGTGTTGTACATTTTGAAATTTAAAAAAAAAGATTTTTCACTTTGCACACTATCATTTGTTTTTATAAATATAGTTCACTAAAACTTCAGTCTTTATGTTTTGTTAGCAAACTGATTTTCTAAGAAGGTCGGTTTTTTGTCAAAATAGTAAAATCATAAGGTTTTTAAAGATAATTGGTTTACTATAAGAAAAATATTTTGTGTTTAATTTGTTCCAATGTATAAATGTTTCAGCCAAATACATTGATTTGGTACACAAACTGAATGGCTTTGTCATCCCCTCAACAGGATTTATTAGCCGATCCACTCAATTGGCTATGGAATAATGGAATATCAATGCTTCTTTTTATCTCAATTTTTTTGCATCTGTTTAAAACTGTATTATTTTTTTATTGTTTTATCTTTGACTGTTAATTTACATAAAGCTTCATTAAAGTTCTGTTGTTTTTTAGAATTTCTGGGAATTGTTAGTGTTGTAAAAACCCTAAAAATGCCTAATTAACGAGTTTGTTTCTCCACAAGATTCGTTAACAAACCCAATAGATGAATTTTAAAGTAGAAATTACTGATTAATCTTTTTGAAAATGTTGTTAATCCTTGTTTTTTTTTTTTTTTTTTTTTTTTTTTTTTTTGATCAGTGAAATGTCTACAATTTAATAGACAAGTTGCTTGGTAACAAATGTTTTATTTCTCCTATACAATGTTGATGATAAACAGTTACACATTTGCCTTTGCAGGAGTCAGCCCTATGTTCCTCAGAGGTAGAAATATCCCCCTCACCCGCAGCACACTGTTGGACCAAGTGAGAGGGCAATTCCGGGGAAGGGCGAGGCGCAACAGGACTCCTTTCCATTTTCAACCTAGGTTTTAGTTTAAGTTTTCAGACTTGGTTAACATTTGTTGACACATTTTATATATTGTAGTTGTGATATTTTGACATGTTTGTCATACATTCAAGATATAATTTGTTTGTCCTTTAATTTTTCTACATGATAAACAATGTTTAAAACAAAATTAGTTTTACTACGCCCAATATTGTTTGTACCATTAATTACATTTTAGTATTTCCTTTATGATTATCATTGATTTTGTTAATAGTGCAAGATTGGGGAACAGTCTCTTTTTAGAAAATTTCTCTATAGGGAAGTAGCTATTACTGTAGGTGGCACAATAAGACCTTAACCCAGGATTGATGTAATTTTTTATTTTGATATCCCTAGAGGCCAAAAACACTATTCTTCAAATTTCGCTTGAAGATGTAGGGCGGGATAAACGAACAATTTTGCAAACCAGCATGATCAAAACATGGGAACAGCGATTTATGCGGGTTTAATGGGGGGAAAATTGGTTTTTCTCATTTTTTGACTCTTAACCCTTAGCAGTCTGAAGGCCACTTGCATGTGGTCACGAGATCCTTAACGTGACATGTTGTCATATATGTATATATAATAGTGATTGGTCGGTACCACTTTTTCAAAGTCGGTACCAGTACTGGTTCCTAGCCAAAATTGATTCTCGGTTCTGGTACCATCGGTAACTTATTTTAAGTTTTTAGTATAGGTTGTACTTACCTGATTGCAAAGACGGTAAGGACTAAATAAATCTAGATGCAATCCCAGTAAATAATAAATCACAAACAAAATCTGATAAATTACAAACAGCCAAAATTATAAAAGGGTATTAAGTATAATTTATTCAACATGGACAAAACTATAAGGTATATTTGGACAGGAATCTATGCAGGTGTTGATGGCCTTTTTTCATAAACTTTGTATTCATATGAAATCCCATCTTCTTCTTGTGGTTCTGAAGGTACATTTTCGTCCCTGAAATAAGGTGTTTTAAATATAATTATTAGACCAGGCCGGGGTTGGGGTTGAGTATGCAAAATTATTCGGACGCACTTTCTCTTTTGATTGTTGTTAAGGACACTTTGGACAGTAAGAAAACGCATGTTGCCACGATCGGCGTTGGTCGAGTACCAATATGGCTGCCATCCAATATGGCGGAACACCTGACTTGACCTTGATCGAGAAAAATGCAAATAACTCCATCGTTTATCGACCGATTTTGACAATTCTTTTATAGTTGAAAAGAAGAAGAAATTTTCTTTAAGAGTCTCCATTACACTTATAGTTAGTTCTCGTTTAAAAAAGTGATAAATTAGATTTTAATAAAAATTTTACTTTTAAAACGGATAAAATATACATTGAGGTGATTATATATGAGTTTTTACTGACGAAATATGTCCGAACTCAACCTATAGCTGCTTGGGTAACAAAAACGTAATTATCCTTTATCATTTAATAACCAAAATTTAATAATTTGTAATTTAATAATCCATATATTATTAATGTTATTAATTTACAACGAAACACAATTGGAGGTACGTTTTTAAAAAAGAGCAATGCAAGAAAAACTTCATGTAACGATTGGGTAAACAGATTTTTTAGGGTAATTCGACCCTGCTGAGTACAAATCTGCGTGTTGCCAAAGCAAAATTTAAATCAGAAGTGTGGTATCCAAGATGGCGGCCAGACCCTGTTTGCCCCATTACTCTTTTGTTATTTGGCCTAAAATATTGGTTTAAACATCTGAATAGAGGTTTTCTCAGGTGCCAAACACATTGCAATACTCAAAATGTACTTACATCAACTTTTAAGAGCTTATGTTCCAAGATGGCGTCCTAAAACTCTGTTTACGCATATCTCTCTTCTTAGTTGGCCTAAAATAATAGTTTAAACATCTGCATAGGGGTTTTATCGGATTGCAAACACATTGCAATACTCCAAATTTACTTACTTAAACTTTTAGGGGCATATGTTCCAATATGACACCTAAGATGGCGTCCTAAAACTCTGTTTTCGCATATCTCTCTTATTAATTGGCCCAAAATAATAATTTAAATGTCTGCATAGGGGTTTCATTAGAATGCCGAATACATTTCAATACTCAAAACGTAATCACAACAACCCTTCAGGTAATATTTTCCAAGATGGCACACAATATGGCCGCCAAAAAACTCTGTTTCCGTATATCTGCCTTGTTTGTTTGTTTGAAATTATTATTTAAACGTCCATAAAGGTTTTTCTTCTGATGCCAAATGGATTGAAACCCCCCCACAAAATTCCACCTCTTTACAGTGAAAAGTAGTTCAAATGTCTATTTTTTGTACGTTTTTGAACACCCTGTAAATATGGATAAAGATAATTTAAATCTTTTTCCACTAAAATACTCAGGACTAAAGGACCTTTAACAAGAGGTATAACACGACCCCCCTTTACATTTGAAAATTTCCCAAAAACCACCCCCACCCCCCAAAATCTGCCCTTTGGGGTGTTTTTTTGGGGTTGAAAATAATTTAGCTGAATTCCTTGGGGTCAAAATAGGGGGTTCCAGTTGCAATTAGGTTTCCATTTGCTTTCATATTGGAGCTATACAAGCCGGCCGGGTGGTCTGAGACACCCTGTATATGTGTCCATCCGCACGATAACTTGAGTAATTTTTGTCCGATTTTGATAAAATTTGGTTTGAAGGTGTAAGGCGGGATAAACTTGAATGAGTTCGCAAACCAGCATGATCGGACTATAGGAACGGGGGTTTACGGGGGGTTTTATGGGGTAAAAATAGGGTTTTCCCATTTTTGACCCTAAAAACACAAAATTTCACAATTTCTTTCTAAACCATTTTGTAGAGCTTAAAAAACAAATAATTTAGTATATTGAAGCGTTATTATGCGCCTAATTGTTACGGATAAAATTCAAAAAAATTGTAATTTTAAAATTCCCATGTTATTTTTATAGAGAATAAGTCAACTGTTGTAGTTTGCTTGTTATGAACATATTTTGATAAAATTTGGAAAATACATTAATTTCTTAATATAATAATATAATATAATAATATATACTATATATAATTACTTACTGTCCAACGTGTCCTTAACAACAATCAAAAGAGAAAGTGCGTCCGAATAATTTTGCATACTCAACCCCAACCCCGGCCTGGTCTATATTGTTAGTCATTTTGTTAACTTAATGATTACCACTAAGTGTTACAAATTGATTGGCAACTACAGTTTGTTCCACGAGTCATGGCACCTTACGGATTAGGAGACCCTTACATACACAGTGGTTCCTAATCCGTCGGGTGCCACGACTAGTGGAATGGACTGTAGTATGACATTTTAAACCAGAATCGAAAGGCAGTGTTTCCAGCTTTGTATATTATTGAAATGAAATGAAATGAAATGAAATAATATTTTATTTCCCATTAATTATTTACAGATAAGTACATTGTATTTTTTTCTTTACTTAAATATGATACAGCAAAACATTACTAACTAGATAACAAAACATACTGTAGAAATAAGTGAATAAAAGTGTAAAAAAAATACATTCTATAAGAAAGGAAAAAGTCTACATAGGCAGGGCCTGTGCGTAGACTCGAGTTGCGAAAAAGATTAATTTAAATAGGAAGTAAAAAATATATAGAAGAAAAAAATCGTATAATTAAAACTTATTTTTATTTGTCTTGCTTGAAACTGAATTTTGTGTTCTGGAATAAATTGACGGTAAAAAAAAGACTCTTTGTGCAAACAGAGGTAATTTGTAAAAATCTGGTGAAGATTGAAGAGGAGAGGTGGAGTGTGGTGTATTAGTCAGTCAGTGAAAGTGGTGTATCAGTGATTGTGTAGGGTCAACGGTCAGGTCCGCCCAACGCGATAATATTATCAAGATAAACCATATTAATCATATTACGATTCTCAACTGAATTCTTTTGTAAATAGCATTCAAAATATATGCTAAACAAATTAATATTCATGAGCATGATCAATGAAAAAAATGGAACCATGTTGTTCAAAATATTTGAGGAGATTTATTATAAAAGCCATTTTTACAAACATTGTGAACTTTAAACAACCGTCACATTGTTGCAAGAAAAATATCTTTTGACGAATCACAAAACTTACGTTTGTTAATAAATTGTGTCCTGAATTGTTGAGTTTATTAATAGCACTGAAATGAAAATGCCCATGGACATGTAGATGCAATACTTACTTTACTTCGACAAACTCTACTGGAATTTTAGGGAAGAAGGTGTCACACTCAAACTCTTTTTTTATCCTAGTGACATATAATCTGTGGCAAGCACTGCTCTCCATGGCCTCCTGGAATACAATTTACATGTACTAATTTGTTGTACATAGTACAGGGGATTTTAACATAACAATTATTTTATTCGTCCTTAAACAGACTTTTTTGTCTGCACGCCTAAGTTCAGCACTAGAATTTTTGCCTCACTTAGGTTGCATTTTAAGAGTGAGCAGAAATTGACACAATATTCGAATCAATAGGGTAGGGACTGTACCGAATTCGGATAGTGGTATGGTTCCAATTTATTCGGGTAATTGTATTTTGAACTTTTACTTTCAGGATGGCAGAACATATCTTCAAATATTTTGGGATTGAAAACATTGATGCTTTTGCTGTGATTGTGAAGGACGATATGATTTTCCATGACCGCAGGAGATGATGATCTCTTTAAGGCACGGGAGATATTTAAGATTTTGCCGCAATCATGGCTTCTAAAAAGCCTTTTTTATTGCTATTGTAAGGGCTTACCTTAGCAATCCTATTATTGAGTGAATGAATATTAAGTTTGCTAAGGTAAGTGGTGACAATAGCAAAAGCAATCCAGAGGCTAAAATGATTGATAACCTTTTTTATTAATGATAATTTTTTTTTTTATAGATTCATATTACTTAAGTTTTATGTTTTTTTAAATTCTTTCTGTCAGTAATTTTTATAATCGACTATATGGATGGTTGGAGTTTGGATAGTTGGGAGTTCTCCTGTGATTGATTCAAATTTTGTTCTTTGATATTGAATGATTCTTTTACATATTCTATTGGGAAAAAGGTAGAATCTTACTAATATTATAAATCTGAAAGTTTGTGTGTGTGTGTGTTGCTCAATCACGCATAAACTACTGGACGGATTGGGCTGAAATTTGGCATGATGATAGCTCACATTCCCGATTAACATTAAAGCATATTATCCCAAAAATCCTTTTGGGCTCCGCCCCAGTGGCTCTGTAGTTTCCCATGTTAACCTTATGGTTTTTCATATTTAAAAGGAATTAATGAATCTTAACAGCTGTTTCAATTAAACAAGTTGGTTCTGTTCTATGATGTTCAATAGCATAAAAGTTACAAGGATTACCAACAGGGTGCAGCACTATTATTTTTTTTAATTTATGACAACAGCTAATTTCCAACCAAAAGGTGAGTGAGCGTAGCGAACGAACTTCAACCTGGAGGCGAGTTAGCGTAGCGAACGAGCTAACCTAAAGGCAAGTGAGCGCAGCGAACGAGCTCCAACCTAAAGGTGAGTGAGCATAGCGAACGAACTTCAACCAGGACGTGAATGAGCCATGCGAATACTTATGAAGTTAAACGGGGCAAAGCCCGCGGGTACAGCTAGTCAGTGAATATGTGTCATAGTGATTTCTTAAACATACAACTTTATCAATAAAATTCAACACTCCATCGTTCATAATTTCAAGTGCATCGTAAGAATGTCTGCTAAACCCTTAGAAAAGACTTGAGAACTAAATAATATAGCATTTAATTTGGTACCTGGTAAACAGAACTTCCCCCAATCACCCAAACATTCTCAATCGAATCAACCAAGGGAGGCTTTTTCAAGGCTTGTAGTGCTTCTGGAAAGGTTCGGCAAACCACTACATCTTCAGGATACTCCCCACTTCTGTAATTCAACATAGAGAAACTGATGCAATACATGTTTTTCTGCTTGAACACAGCCAATCGATGAATAACATGTTTCAAAACTATTATTAATAACATTAAACAAGTGGTAATGTAATATCATAGACTAACCAACACAAGTAGACTTCTCATCCCATTGTAAATTTTGAAGCACGTTTTTCGTGTCTAGTTCATGTACGTGACACATGGGCGCTAGTGTCAACGAAACTTTGTTTCTATTATTTTAGGGTTAATTTCTTGATTTGTGCTTTACTGTTTGGTTATATAACTAGGGGACAAGTTATTGTTTATGATTAGATCGTATTATTTGGTTAAATGATGTTTTAAATGGCTGTAATAACGGGAAACAAATTGTAAACAAAACACGACCTCTACATAAACCGTACAGAACTAACAATAAAATTGTCTTCAGCTGTTCCATAAGGATGAGAAATCTACTAAGGGAGTATGTTTTATCTAAGGTAATATTCAAGATAGCCTATGTCATTTTTATCCAGTCAATATTTTATGTTGGTTTTTATAGTTGGTTTCTACCTTTTTTTGTAAACCGTCTTAAAATTGTTTACAAAGTATGATATACCTCAATGGTTGGTTAAATATTGTTGATAGGATTTTTAGAATAATGCCCTAAAAACATACACATGCTAATGAATGTAGTATGTGTGTTAACTAACGTTAAAGTTACCTGGACATAAATTTCCTAAGTGTTCAAGGTGACATAAAAAGTTAACATCCTACTTCTAATTAAACCTGAGTAGGCTACTCCTAATAAGGCATAAGCATCAATCATCAATTATCAATCATTAAGATGGGGACGCCACTTAGGTGCGTATTTTAACCAAAATATGAGTGAAGGATGAGTGTAGAATGGTGTGAGATGATCCGTGTAGCTTTGTTACTGACTCAGATCAGCTGTTTCATTAGCCAGGATCATTTATTTAAAGCCCAATGATCAGGACCAGCTGGGTCCAGTTTCGAACCATCAAAAAGCTACTGACTTTTCTCAGGATCGAATAATACATAGACCAAAGTGTCGGGAGAAAACATTAGCCTACTTACTGTGAACGGGATAGAACAATGTTAATCCTTCCTTTGAGAGGTCTGAATTTTCCAGGAATTGATTCCCAAGTTTTTCTTCCCATTATAACAGCATTTTGTTTTCCACTCTTTTTTACTAAAGTGGTCATTTTTGCAAAATATGCCATTTCCTTTCTGAAATAAGTTCAAATTAGGATAAAGTTGTCATTTTCTGGAACATAAATTGCCCTGATCTTACTCTGTAGCCACAAATATACAGTTCAGACAAACCTTTGATGATAAAACACTGTATTTTTTATATAAAAAAGTCATCCAAAGTTTATTTAATTTCATCCTAATCTACGAAGCTAACTAAACTTTCAGCAATATTTCAGTAGGCCTAGTAGCCTAAATATTTCTCTGAGGCATCTACTATTCGACATTTAACATTAGTGTTAATTGCAACTGGGCATATTTTATTGCAAAAATAAAGAACATAAAGTTTAAGTACCCGGTATAATTTGTTTGGTTTTGAAAGTTGAAAAATCAGTATACCGATTATGTTTCCTTTTAAACGTAAGAAATGTTGACTACCGTACAAGAGACAGTCTAATAAATGTAAAAAAAATAATGAAAACTTCATTTATCTTAAACAAAATTTGTATAAGGCTAGTCCATCCAACCAGGTAGGCTAAACTAAGAACTGAACTTGAATTTTGATGACCAGGAGGTACAAGTTTTTTTACAACACACGATGCAATAATGCCAAATATCGCTGTTTTTTATCTTTTCACGTTTATCACTTTTGCGGTAAATGATCCATGATCGGGATGAATGATAACAATGTGGCCGTATTTTATGATCACGATGCAACGTTGCTGAGATCAATGATCATTTGAGACAACCACAATGTTATCATGATCGCAGGAGATGGCCACGACATTGCCATGGTGACGGGAAATGCTCTAAAACAGATGTTTTTGGTACTATGTATAAAAGAAAAGGTTACTATTTTATACTATGCCATCCGATCCTGTAGTTGCAAATAACAGGGGTTAATTTGTAAAAGGCTAGTTTTAGGAATGGATCATAAGTTAATTATGATAAATTAAGCTATACAAGTGAAACTTTATTATTAAAATGATATCTGCAATCAATAACGCTATTCTGAGTCCACTAAACAAAATAACTTATATTGTTTCGACAATATGGTAGGCCCCTCTAGGCCTACTTTGAAAAGGTGGCAGGTGAAGAAGGGAATTGATGTAGGCCTATAGATTCATATTTTAGTGACCGATTGTTCCAGCAATTGCAGTTTCCTGAAGAGTTTCCTAAAACCCTCAATTGTTTAGGTTAAAGTCTCTTTAGCTCTTATTTATCAAGAATTAAAGTTGTTAATATGAAGGTAGGCCTACATCTTTATGAAACATGTTTCCAAAAGATTCAGACAGATAGCAAAATTATTCATTGCAATTTTGCCAAGTCATTTGATCAAGAAGTGTGGATACTGAAGGAGAGTTATCATGGTATCAAGCAAGCAGGACCTAAAATGTCACAGTAACAAGTATAAACAAGCTTATGAACTTTTATAATTAATAAGTTATTATAACTTAAGCCATTATTTAAACTCACTTTAACCTCCATGGGATGTTTCCTTGATAACCAATGCCATGAGTGGTATTGACAAGAGCCACAATTATGGAAAGTTTCATTTTAAGTTAGTTAAGGAAAGCTATGTAAATGCTGGTGTAAAAAGAATCTAAGATATCGAGTAAAACTGCTGAATTCTTAGAAACAACAGGTTAATTAAATCACATTAATTAATTAAACCTCATACTAAGTGCAAATAAAAGATAATATTATGCAACTTGAACAGAAACCAAACCGAAACCAAGCAACGAAGCAAGCAACAGGTTATATTTTGATTTGTGATTTCAATATTTTTGTTGCGCTTTGCAGTTTGCCGCCGTTAATGTTCGTCGTCTGCAAAGTGGGGCAAGAGGTTTTTTAAGTAAAAAAGAGCAGACACATAATTGAACCATAGATTAAAAAACAAGTCAATGATTGAACCGAGTAAATCAAGGTTATTTAAGCTGAGGAATTTTTGCAAATAACTATGTCTTATAATAAAAATCATTTTGCTTGTTTATAACCGCATTATAAGGACAACTAACCCTTCTTTATGTTAGCCCTCCAGGCAGGGCCACCTTTAACTTTAACTCTATATTGAAGTTTGTGTGAGCATGTTCTTTTACCAATTGTATAGCTTTGCGTTTTTGTATGTATGGTATTGTACAAAGGGTTTTGCCGTAAATAAATAGAATTAAATTGAATTGAACTTCAGCCCGCGGCATTCGAAGGGGCAACGTGGCAAGTAGTGTTGTAACTCATTGTCCTTCCACCATGATTGTAACTGTTGTTTTCTTCGGAGGAAGCTAATTTTGTTTTAACATAGTTTTATTTACAATCTATTTTGCATTAAACAATAAGAATAAGTAAATACTAGTGGCTTGAAGGGACATAGGACATAAGTCCCTGAAAAGCTCAAATGTAAAACAAACAATTGTAATCTATATATATAAAAGGCAAAGCCCTCACTGACTCACTCATCACTAATTCTCCCACTTCCCATTTACCTAGGAGGCTGAAATTTGGTACACTGATTCTTTAGGCATTAAATAGGAAAACTAAGTAGTTTTTATTCTGATCGGACTCTCGGGCTCCGCCCCAGTGGCTCTGGAGTTTCCCATGTTAGCCTTATGATTTATCATATTTAAAAGGAATTAATGAATCTTAATTAACAGCTGTTTCAATTAAACAAGTTGGTTCTATTCTATGATGTTCAATAGCATTTAAGTTACAAGGATTACCAACAGGGTGCAGCACTATTATTTTTTTAACTTTTGACAACAGCTAATTTGCAACCAAAAGGTGAGTGAGCGTAGCGAACGAACTTCAACCTGGAGGTGAGTTAGCGTAGCGAACGAGCCAACCTGAAGGCAAGTGAGCGCAGCGAACGAGCTCCAACCTAAAGGTGAGTGAGCGTAGCGAACGAACTTCAACCAGGACGTGATTGAGCCATGCGTATACTTATGAAGTTAAACGGGGCAAAGCCCGCGGGTACAGCTAGTACATTATAAACAAACTTAAATAAATCTAATACATATATCAGATATAAATCCCAGTACAACATATCTTTTGTGTAAAAAAATAGTTTGTTGTTTCTCTTTGTTTGCTTTTGTTGATGTTATTTTTAATAAATAATTTAAATTATTCCAAAGGTTTAACTCTGCTAAAGGCAGCAAACGTATAAATCGTCAGTTAAACAAGGCATAATGATCACAAGGCATTCACAAGGCAAATTCAATACCAATCAACATGCTTCTACAAAACCATGACAAATCTTTAAAAAATTCTACAATAAATGGTACAATAAATTCTCATAGTTGGTGTTCCCTCAAGAAAAGAGTGACGTCACGCCCCCCGCTCCTTCTCTTAAGAGGTTCTCATCAGTTTCTGCAAGAGGAAAACGTGGCGCTATATTTATTTACACAACTGTTCTTCTTTCTTGTTATTATTTTACCAGACTGAAGTTGGCTGTCGAGCATCTGACGAATGCTAGGCCATAAAAGTGCCAGGACGAAACAATAGGAACACTCGCATCAACTTACAACAGACCAGCGCTTGGTCCTCCTATCTCGTTGCGAGTAAACATTGTACGCAATGTATCATCGGTTCTTTCATTAGTTCTTTGCTGTTATACATTAATAAAGTTAAGTATTTTTAAGTATTTAAGTAATTTTTATTGTATATAACAGGTTGCGGTCAATGACAGTCTACATGACTTTTAATTTGGGTGATAAAATTTACCCGAAAAATAGTTTGTGTTACAATATAACTCACAACAGTCTTATATTGGACAGGTCAACGCCTTGTATTGGAAACTATTTCCTACAAAAGTCATAGAAAAAACGTTACTTTAATGTATGCGCACAAGCTTTCGGAGAACATTCCAATGCGGGAATTTCACGATTTTTAATCCTAGGTTTTTTGACTTCAACAATGCATCATATTTGTTATATATAATATTTTTTCATGATATAAGTGACATATACGTCAAGCTAATAGAAAGGAATTCAACATATTAAACGACTTACACAATTACCTACGTGGTGAGAAGTGTTATATTAAAAAAGATCAATTATATTTTCATTACTGGAGGACCATGGAAAAAGCTTGCTGAATATGGCGCGATAAGTGATAGACGCATCTGTACGGTGAGCTAATAGGCAAAATAATTCTAATATTGAACAGCTTATAGCTTCAACGACTTACACAATTACCTACGTGGTGAGAAGTGTTATATTAAAAAGATCAATTATATTTTCATTACTGGAGGACCATGGAAAAAGCTTGCTGAATATGGCGCGATAAGTGATAGACGCATCTATACGGTGAGCTAATAGGCAAAATAATTCTAATATTGAACAGCTTATAGCGCAACTACCTAGGTGGTGAGAGGTGTTGGATTAAAACATATCAATTACAGTAATGGGGACTAGAATATAAAACTATTTTAACTTATTTTCATTACTGTAGGATTATGGAAAAAGCTTGCTGAATATGGCGCGATAAGTAATAGACGCATCTAGACGGTGAGCTAAAAGGCAAAATAATTCTAATATTGAATAGCTCATCATAGCGCAACTACCTAGGTGGTGAAAGGTGTTGGATTAAAACATATCAATTACAGTAATGGAGACTAGAATATAAAACTATATTAACTTATTTTCATTACTGTAGGATTATGGAAAAAGCTTGCTGAATATGGCGCGATAAGTAATAGACGCATCTAGACGGTGAGCTAATAGGCAAAATAATTCTAATATTGAACAGCTCATAGCGCAACTACCTAGGTGGTGAGAGGTGTTGGATTAAAACATATCAATTACACTAATGGGGACTAGAATATAAAACTATTTTAACTTATTTCCATTACTGGAGGACCATGAAAAAAGCTTGCTGAATATGGCATGATAAGTGATAGACGCATCTAGACTGTGAGCTAATAGGCAAAATAATTCTAATATTGAACAGCTCATAGCGCAACTACCTAGGTGGTGAGAGGTGTTGGATTAAAACATATCAATTACACTAATGGGGACTAGAATATAAAACTATTTTAACTTATTTCCATTACTGGAGGACCATGGAAAAAGCTTGCTGAATATGGCGCGATAAGTGATAGTGAGACGGTGAGCCAATAGAATAAATAATTTTAATATTTAACAGGTTACACTGCAACTGTTAATACTGTTAAGTGGCGACCATACATAGTAGGATCACCCTACTATGTCACCCTACCTATGTGGTGAGAAGTATTACATTAAAACATATAAATTACTGTAATTTTGATTATATACACTGAACGATATCCCTGAAAACATAGTAGTACGAATTGTAGTACAGTATGTAACAAAATATAGATACTCCAACTATGCAACCGTGGTGAACAGGTTATTTTTTTGAGTCCGCACCGCACGAGTCGTGTAGTTGGCCATTTAAGTATGGAACAACTAGATTCGACAATAAACACAAACCTGGTTGTTAGTTGTTGGTTGTTAGTTGGCCTCTTGGGTGAGAGTCACTAGGTATCTGAATCATAAAATCAATTATAATTTTCACACAAGGGTATTTGTATTTTTCGTTTTTTTATAATTTTTTATATTTTACTTAAAAGCTATTGTTTGCTCAATCTGTGGATGCGATGCTCCCTGGTGTGGATTAACGTCCGCACTAGTGAGTACTACGACTATCCGCAGTACTATCCTGATAATTAGACCAATTCGTAAATTACAAGGAAAAATGTGGTTCGGATTCCACTATAAACTGTAGGTCCCTTAGTTGCCATTAGCTGTATGGGCTATTAATTAACAGCTGTGTCTAAGGAACATGTCGGCCTTAGTCACTAACAAGACTACAAGATCGCGCCACTCATCCTACACTCATCCTTCACTCATATTTGGGTTAAAATACGCACATAGTGGCGTCCCCATCTTAACTAATTGATAATTGATTGATTGATTGATAATCAAACCGCACACAGGATTCTGTTAGCCCATACTGGGAAGCTTTGCCTCCGTCGTTGATCTCATAAAAGCTAACTGCATACAATGCATACGCCATGCATGGAACAGCCCTACGGAGCAGGGCTTAGCCCTGCATACAGTGTGTGGCCTTAAAAACACCTAAAAAAATATTAATTTAATGCTTCTGAATAAGTCAGTGCTATCGGTGGATAATCATGCAGAATGTGTTACAGATGATTCTTACAGGCATACTTCGGTTTTTCAGTAGATTTCTAAATTAATTTTTAGTATAAATACACAAGAACTGTTTTTAAACACAAAATCAATCTTATGAAAGTTGCTGTTGACCTTAACATGGGGATGGAATGTAAAGGTACAGGCTCCTCTAATTTCACCCCACGCTGCAAATAAAACATGTGATCGTAATTTCTTCCATTTGTTTTGATTTTATATTTATATTTCGTTGTTATTTCGTCACCAGCATGGCAACCCATAAAGCCCACGTTATTTTTTTTAATTTAAAATCCATTTTTTGTGCTTATATTTAAGCCTATTTTAATTTTTAAAGGGATTCTGCACTTCTAGAGGAAAATATATTTCCAACAGTATGCGTAGATTTTCCCTGCGACGCACACGAGCTGAGAAAAAAAGTTTTAAAGAAACATGTTAGCCTATTAAGAGTCTTCAATAGCAAAGTGGCAACTCAAACGCGACCTTGCAACCCAATTCTGGCGGCGCTCTGTAGAACTACCTGAAAGCCTTTTCCGGTATTAGGCTGGTTTTATGCACCGCGAC